GATCGTATTGAACAAATCTACTCGAGCGAGTTTATACTTCATCTTATTCTACCTTTCCTATTTAGCGGACACACGCACTTTTTAAATTTCTTAATAGATGTTTGGTTAAATTTAATTGATTATGTATACAAGTGATATCTATATATGTGTGTGTGTGATACCATACAATTATATGTATATGACGTGTCCTGAAGTTCGTGTATTGCATAATACGCAAGTACAACATATGAGTACTGCATAATATACAGTCTGCTGTGATGCGTGAACGTGTGGTCACGGAACGATGCTCGCAGGCCGAGAAAAATTCTTTTTTTTTGTCATCAACTTTTTTTGCATGTAATAAAATAATATCTCATGGGTTTTAATGTAGAATCGTAGCTGATGGCTGTTACTACGCTTCCATTGTCCTCTGATTTTTTTCGTATTCCAAAAGTGAAAATGGTCTGTTTAAAACTTATATATCCCAAGCCGTGCAGCAAGTACGGTATCCCATAGCATTTTAACCGCGAAGCGGGACCAATAAAACTAATTTTTAAAAAATATCAGCGCGCAACAGTTAAGTCGTGCACCGACTCGGACGGCAACAAATCAATAATCTGCCACTTTTCAAACGCGCGCGTCAACCAACGTATAGCACGTCTCGCGCCAAAACGCAGTCATCTCGCCACTTTTGCCCTGAAAGCCAATTATACCAAAACCGCATACCGTGACGTTTGTAATTATCCGGTGAAAAAATAAAAGTCGCATCGAAAGTCTATAAGTTTGGCTGCTGTACCAGTCAACGAAAGCATAGTTTCCCTACGCCTGGTATAAGTACACTATGGCTGCTGGGCCATCATTTCAAAGCGAGCACTAAATAACACAGTAACGAGGAGGGACTACACGTATCGCGTAAGCGCATAAATCCGTTCAAACGGACGGACGAAAAGCGCGACCGGCTACTTTTCCCTGTGCCTACACACATATGTGCCATATGCGTGCAGCTAACATATACGCACGTTACCGCTCCTGCGCTGATTTCATATGTATACATCCTATACCCTGTAGATACGAGTGCTCTGCACGAAGGATGGCGTACCGTATATCCCTCTTATCTCCCGGCGCGAGCTTCCTTTTGCCGCGGGCTGTCCTACACACCGCGTCGTCCAAGCGCTCCTCTTCCCCCCCCTCCCCCTCGTTCGTCTTGTCGTTCCCTCGGGCGTAATTTTGCCTCTTCCTCCTCCTGCTCGCTAGCTGCATCGGTAGGTATACATGCGTACATCTGGCCGAGGAATGCGATAAGGTTACCCCCGGGGCGTGCAATGTGTACCACGCGATTGCTCCGCGAGTGCTAGATACATTCGTGCACAACTCTCGCTCCGAGGGACTGTAGGAGCGCACAGTGGTGCGTATCTATTATACGTACGGGAGTGTTTCATTAAATCCGAGCTGGTGTGCCTGTGTGCACTGGCCATTACACCTACGTCGCTCGCGGTTATATTTATCACGGGAGGATCGTTACGCGCGGGTGTCGAGTAGCCGAGAGGAAAATCACTTATCCCCTCCTTGTTGTTTGCGATCCAATGGGCAACGGGCTGGTCGATCGGGGGTGATGCTCAGGCCATTCGCGTGGTGGTATAATGGATGTTTCAATACATCGCTGTGTGTGTACGAGGTCATTAGTCACGGGATGAGGCTCGCCGTAACTTGTCCAAGTACCACGAGTATATTAATTTATACATACACCAGCGATATGGTTTTTCATCATCCTTTGGATCTAAAGGACTGTCAGCGCTGGAGCCGAGAGCCATCGATTCCGGAGGCTGGTGTGCACGCGGGTTTTTTGACTTCTCCGCGGAAATTCCGAGGATTGATTTGATCGTTGGGATCGCAGGGGCTGCAAGTGAAATTTGTTCGTGACTCTAATGAATACGGGGGCGTGTCTTTGGTATGAGGCGAAATTGAAAGTATCGATCAACGAGACTATCGCTGTTGTTGATGCATCGCGGACATACAATACAATGAATAAATGATAGCGAAGGAAGACTTGCTGCATAAAAAAGCTGCAATTTACTCGGGGCACAAAATTTCTAAGGGCAGCATGATGTATAATACCTACTCGTTTGTCCTTTTGAAGATGTGGCTCGTGTTGTTCAGGAGACGAAGGCTAATTTGGTCGTGTACAAACTCTGTTGGCATCAATCCTGAGAAAAAACGGTAGCTGCATGTTATTTAATCACGTTTTCTTCAATTTTTTTTCTGCACCCAAATACATTCGTTTTCAGGTCTAGCGTCGCACTTTTTCTTGTCAAAGTCTTTCGGCTTCCATCGCATTGTATTGACGAATTTTCATTGAGCTTCATAAATTTATATGAATTGAACCCTTAAGCCTCAAAAAATGCCGCATCAACCATCATTATTTGTATTATTATTTTCAGTTGTGTACCAACTGCATCTTAACGCTAGGTATATTTATCAACGTTTGTACAGCATATCGTGAATTTATTTTTTTAATGTAATGTACTAAGGAGCCTAAAATCGACCATGAGTTGAATGGTTGTTGAACAAAAATATAGTATAGTCTCGAACAGAGGTGGAATGCATGAAAAATATACTTACTTTATCGAATTTAGCGAGACCCTAGAAAACCTTAGATCCTAGAAGGATACATCAAAAGCGAGCTTTCGCTGATTTTATGAGTAATACCTATGTTCGTGCTGGTCAATTACATTGCTCCGTGTTCAAATTGATTTCTTCGTGATAAGCCGAGAGTTGCCAACCCCGGGCGAAGAACTTTTCGTTGTACATGGATATTTCGACTAGTCGTAAAGTATAACATGAAATTGTTTGAAACGTACGATTAGTCTTACACGTGCATCACCCACCTGCGTTTCCTTCAGGCCAACCCATAGCTACCTACAATACCTTTTCGGCCGGTGCTGGCGTTATTGCAGGGTAGATAAGCCAAGCGAGCCACGCGTCACGTGACATCCGGCGCGCACACCCTCGCGGCGTCATCGCGATAACAACTCGATTTCTGGATTATCGCGCGACCGCGTCTCCCCCTTTCTACGTGTATACACTGACTTGTATCCAACCGCGGAAATAACGCTTCGCGGTATGCGGGACGTCGTCTCGGCGGACGACGTTGCACGCGAACCCCTCGTCGCGCGTCGAAAGAACCGGGCGGAAGTTCCGTGGCCGTGAAAAATGCCGAGGCACTCCCTCCCTCGAGATACCGCGAAATTGAAAGGCCACTCGTGCACGCACTCGTCTTGGGCTCTCGCGTTTTGTTTCGCTTCGTGCTTGGATCCTGTGCTGTTTAATTTCTTTTTCGTTTTGCGGACCCAAAGTACTCCGCATTTCAATGTAGCTCTTCCATCAAATCTAACTCATTTGTCTGATTTTTTTATTTTTTATCATTTACTTACATTGCTCCAGTTGCTCCAGGATTTTCCGACGTACCTAATCTCATTGCCCCACAGAGCGGTGGTCACGTTTTTTGGAAGAAAAGGTTTATCATCAGGGATTACCTAAAAATCTCGATGTTTCTTATAAGTTTGTTTCTTAATGCACCATTAATCATTATAACCGTAAACATATTTAAAAAATCTTTGATATTTATACATCTAAAATTATTATAACATCCCCAAAAACAAACAGTTTCGCATTGTAGCGAATAAATATTGGTATAAAGATATTGATAAGGGAACGCGATTTCCGCAATGATTTGTCACGGGAGTATAGATCAGTGAACTCGTAATACATGTATCTTTTCATTAAAGCTTGTAGAGTTCATTTTCAAATCAAACATCCTCGCAAACAACTAAGGGCATTGTCTTCATTCGTTTATTTACAAGTGTTATATTACTAAACGAGTTAGTGACAATCGTCCTCAACGTCATATAATTTGACAGTAAATATATAATTTAACTTTTTTTTATTATGTAAAAGTTTTTTGATATACGTATGGATCACATTTAAAAATTAATATTAAAATCATATAAAACGGGTATATTTGAATAATGGTCCCATAAATAAGGAAATTAAAAAATGATGAACCATTAGTGTTTTACGCGTTTCCAACACAAAGTTCTACGACAACTACATACGTGAGATTTTTAAATCCATTTTAATACCATAGGCGCGTTCAAGACATACATTTTTAAATAATCGTACACTTTAAAAACGATCATAGTAATCGTTCTCAATTATTAATAGATTATAAGTAAAACCCCCTCACAAATCTAAAGCTTTAATCTCTAAAAAAATTTCGTCACTAACTTCCGGAACGTTACAAATCGTCATCACCTAAAATCATTCACTACAAAACATCCATCCTTATCATACGTGGGAACTTACGCCAGAGGCCCTTTATACCTGAAACAATTGGTCAATATACGGTCAACGACGTCATATATTTATAAACTATGATATTACAAAGACTCGCTTAAACTTAACGCGTCAAATTTGAAATGAAATTACGTGAAACGATCACACACTTAATGAAGTTTGTTTAAAATTAAGTATCAGCTTCAAGTCTTAGCAGACCTCATTTATTTTGATACCTGGGGTGAGTCCTGGCTGAGATCTTTACCCTAAAAGTTCCATTAAATGCCCAAAACGAGCGTAAGATTTCCGTAATAATTGAACACAGCTATGGTAACAAGCTGGTTAATGGTATCTCTAATACACGCCGAAAAAGGTCTCCTCTGATGATAATCTTTGTTGCCATCGCCACGCAACCACCCTCTTCTATAATATGGAAGAACAACGTATCCCTCAACTCTCCCATACTTATACGTGTACTCGTCGATGCACCACCATACCGATAATAATTGCCGGAAAGTTCCCCGTCGCCCACACGCTCGGATAAATATACTTATCCCTCTCCCTCTTGCTCGTCTACTTCCTCCTCTCGTGTTCCTGGCCCCTCTCCTTCCCACTTTTTTACTCCCCGCAACTCTCCGTTACGGGACAATAGCTCTCATTACGGAAGCGCCTACGCGCCACCTAGCCAGATAGCCACGTAGCTAGCTAGCCAGCCTGGTGAAAATTCCATTTCGTATTACAAAAGGTGATAATGATAAATCGTGTACATACATGTGAAGGTTATGTTAAAATATTTATACAGTTTACACTTTTACACGCACACAGATGTGTACGTAACACACACACATGAATATATATATATGCATATACCTATACATATATGTTAATTATATCTACATTAATATTGTACACACATGCTGACATATTCATGTAGATATAACTGGTTAACATTCATAATTAATTAACATATACATATAGTTATTTGCTGTTATATATATATATATATATATATATATATATATAATAGTGTATGTCTACGTAGTATTTGTATATATAGTCTTATCATTGACTAGTCCAAATATCAAAATATCTTTTTTTTATCAAGTTACATATTAATGTATTCCTAGGAGTTGGTACTTGTGTTTTATGCCTACATAATTCTTATAATTTTGTAGCTGCTCTTTTGATAACTGCAGGTCAGTGTATGATTTGTTTTGTTCCATAATGCGTGAATGCGAACACCAATTAACTGCCTTCTGTATTAACAAAATTAATAATAATCCTTAAATTATTTTAAACAGTTATCCTATCCATAAGAACTGATATTAAACTAGTTTACTAATAGTACTATATATTAAAGTTGTCAGAGNATGTGTGTGTTACGTACACATCTGTGTGCGTGTAAAACTGTAAACTGTATAAATATTTTAACATAACCTTCACATGTATGTACACGATTTATCATTATCACCTTTTATAATATATGTATGTATGTATTCATCGAACAGACAGCGATACATCGATACCGATGCTTATACTGCCTGATACTCGGATTTTTGAGTGTTAAATCGTCATGGCCTATACTTACCATAAAATGGAATTTTCACCAGGCTAGCTGGCTAGGTGGCGCGTAAGCGCTTCCGTACATAACTGAGCCACGGTCGTCGCCGCGTCGCATAAGCGTCCCGCTATTTTTTGTTCTCTCTCTCTCGAGGGCTTGTTTTATAGTTTCGTATGCGATACCACGCACGCAAACACTTTTTTCCCTCGACAACTGATATCTGGGTATATATATAATATGTATAGGCACGCGGTAACCTCAGGATGCTGGAAAACAATTTGAATATTTATATATTTCCATAACACCCGCGCTCAAGTCAAAAAATACAGGTATACATGCTCACGTAAACGGTTTCATTCGTACGCATGACTTTGATATTTTACAATATGAGAAACTCTCCATTTGTTTTTTACTTTTCGGGGTACCCAAAAGTGCCAAATTCAAATTTTAAGCTACACATCTTTAGCTATGATATAAAAAGATACCCATAAAAGCAAATATTATTCGAAAAATTTATCAATAAAATTATCGTTACGGGTAATTTGTATGGGATGGAGTGAAAAACCAAGTTTATTTATGTACAAATTCAAAATGTAAATTTATTTAACAGTAAAATCAAGCAAACAATTTGCGTTAAATTACATTTGTAATATTACAAACTTTAACGACGTAAAATATATACCTAATATGTACAAATACCATGTATCAATTAATTATACACTATTTAGAAATTCTATTGACTATAATACAATCTACTTGTTAAACTAAATTACACTTAAAGATTTTAATGCTACGATACAGGTTACATTTTTTTTCATTTAAACGCTGTACATTCTCAATATTAGCAATAAACTTAAAATTAATATCACATGAAAAAGCTAGTTCACTTTAACACATTCGTCGACTATCTTTTATGAATTTTTATATATTAATGTCTCCCTTGGCCTGAGAATTTGTTTGTTCGACTATAGGCACTCACCGGTAACTGTATTAAACAGCCCGATTATTGGCTAAAAGTACACTTTTTATTATAATTATTTTCGAGCTCGTGGATATTTTTCTTTGATTGTCTCAACTCAATTTATAACTACTTAGGCCGATGGATAAAAGCACAAGAAAAAATAAAACAGCCCTGATACGTGTCCCTGGGTGCAGCGGCATCCAAAACCAAACGTAACTTTCTTCGTCAACAACGGATCTCAAGTACCTAGTCGCAATGGGCACCCGAGGTTACGCTGGAGGACGATCAAGGGGCAGGGATAGCCGCAGTGGCCAGTTCGCGCGTACCCTAAAATTTAGAGTGAACGGGCCTTAATTGGCGGCGTCGGGGAGGCAGAGGTGGCGGCGTCTCCGGCCACGTTTGCTTGTGCTCGTCATCCTCATTGTCACCGATTATGCTACTGCCTCTACTACTGTTTTCGCTGCCTATTCGCAGCCTGGCGTCCTGCAGCGAAGATCTCTTGTAGTCCACTATGATCTCCGTGAATTTTATGATCCTCCACCGGTACAAGACCTCCTCCTTAGGGTTCTCGGCTTCTTCGAGCTTGACAGCCGAGTCCTCGGAGCTCACCGGCGATTCAGGCCCAAAGATCTCGCGGTCTGAGAGCGTCAGCCCAGAGTCCCTCGATAAGGACATGTCATCCTTGCACGGAGGTTCCGTCAAATAAAAGTTGTCCAGGGAAATCCCATCAGCTACAATAAAACGAGAGAAAAAACGATAAAAAACCAATTGTTACAATTTCATTGGTGGATGTGAAGAAAAGTTTGGTGCTCACAGTGTAGAATATCGGAGCTGTCCTCGGCTTCGCTGTAGTTTAGCTTGGCGCCAAAAAGCAGGTCGACCCCTTCGCCGAACAGGACCTCGTAATGCCGGATGAGCATCTCCGCGAGGGCAGGAATTGCCCGGCTCTGGTTGACCAAAGAACTCTCGGACCAAAGCAGACTCGGTCCACAGCACACGCCCAGATTACTCGCGCACATGAAGTTGTGCTCCGAGCGCCGGGCTATGTAGTGCAGCACGTGGATTAGGTGCGACAGTAGCGTGTAATTTGCTCTCGGTAGACGGTCCAAAATGCTACAAACCAAACGAATGATAAATATATTGACAATCATACATGATAAGGTAGCTCCATTGCCGTAAAAATCACGGGTCGTACCTTCTGATCGTCTTGATGGGGTCCGGAGACTCGAGACTAGCCATCCACAGGGAAAAGAGGTGGGAAGTAAGAAGGGGGTCGGGCAGGGATCTCAGAAAATCCTTGAGGAGAGCGGCCACTGCGAAGACGGGCGCATCTTCGAGGCAGCTGGTGTCGCCCGAGGACTCGATCTGGTCCCTGAGCTCCCGGACAACCCTCAAGTTGGCGGACTTGCGGAAGATGCCTTGGGTGGAGGGGCCCTTGGCGAGGAGCTGCTGCAGCATGACGAGGACCGGCTTTGGTAGGCCGTTCTCGTCGAGCCGTGCCAGATTTACGCCAAAGACGCGAGGACTCCGGAAGGAAGACCTTCGCAAGAGACCCCATATCCGGGATTTGTGCGACTTGGCGTCACCATTGACCGACGCCAGATTTCGCGCATCAGTTACCACGTACTTCTCGTACTTAGCAAGTCTCCGAACCTGAAAGGCAAAACGTTTGAGGTCTTGGTTAATCGTTATTTTTTGATTGGCTGCAGAAAGACTACATTTTTATAATTGTATATATCAAGAACTCTAAATTGTCACTTGTGTCGGGGCAACAATACTCGTTTGATGATAAGAAAAAGGGCTCTTCCCGGCATCCCGAAACTGTAATTACCAAAATCCCGAATGTAATATGCGTCATGCACTCAAGCCGGGAAATTCAACTTTCTCGGTTTCTTTTCCCTGCCTGTCGTTCGGTCCCGGGGGAAAGATTCGACTTCAACGCGCCGGTTTCCTCGACTCGAAATGACACATTTTTCCAAGAGCTTATCTTATCTTTACTTTCTTAAAGAGATAATCGCACACGCGCCGAATCTAGCCAATTGTTTGTACACGCGCGAGGAAAAATGAATGCTGTACATGGCGGATTTACGCTTCAATTAGCGTAAAAGTACAGCAAATACTTAACAAAAAAGGCGTGCAGGAAAAATAAATGGTGCAAAGAAGCAGCTGTGCCTGAAAACACCGGTGTCTCAAAAATCGGACATAACGCTACATCAGAGGTACAAAACTAGCTCTGTGATGCACCCTAGCCCCGTTTTATAAATGTAGGCAAATGTTCGAGGCAAAAGTTCAGTGTATTTTTAATTTTATTCGAAACTTACCTCACTACTCGGCTGGTCATCATTTGATCCGCGCCAAAGGGATCGAAAAGATGCTCTAGTTTTCCTGCACCAGCCAGAAAAGGTTGTTCTCTTCATTTTTCACTGTAAAATAAACTCTGCTTTCACTAGTCCCAATCTGGTTTACAATGAGAACAGTAACTACAACTGGACACTAGAGCACTTCACGATAGAATTACTGAGGACTGAGGGATGGCGGTCTCATCGCACTTTCGAATATCCCCACTGTGCACTAATGTGTTTTCGGTCTTTCACTACTGGCCCGAGTGCAATTATTATTTAATAGGAAAGGTCAGTAGTGGGATCATTTTGGCAGTGACTTGTACATGACTAATTGTGTTCGAGTACATCATTCTTAGGTAGCTCCGCCTACACCGGAGCTCGACACCTCGACGATGTGTAGCTTAGGATTTAAATTTAACGCTTTTGGGTAATCTGAAAAGTAAAAAATGAAAGAAGAATACCTCATATGTATATTATGTATGTTAGCCCGTATTTGGTTTTAATTTCTGGCTTTAACGAAGCGTCTTGCGGTATGATGTTGATCATAATTTTTGGAATAACCAAATTTATGGTGGACCCAGTATTTTATCAGTTCCGCTATACTGGACACTTTTTAACGGAAAAAACCAGCGTATGAAGGCTGTAGAGTAAACAAAAAGTTAGTTTCTTTAGATTTAACACAATTACAAACGTGTATAATGCGAGACAGATACACCCTGTAGTCTTTTTTATGTCAATCATTGAAGAAGAAAAAAATTGATTAGTTCAACGGAATAGGCGATAATTGTATTTTACAAAGCATCGATAGGGTTTTTCTTAATACTCTGATTGACACTACTATTCC